CTTAAACCGCATAAACACATTTCATTACACCAAATACACAAAATAATGTTATTTTTAGCAGCATCATATGACATGATCATATGAACGGAAATCTGGAAATTTTGTATTAAGGAGTCCCATGATCAACGTCACAAATTCTCTGAAAAGCTTCAATAGTTCTTGCCCATTGTACATTGTAACTTTTCTTTGTTTTGAAATTGTTTAAAATCCTAAAATATTCTCTTTCTTTTCCAGATTCACCTTCCAAATCTCATGGAACACTCTTTCTCATTTGGACCCTGTTGTATATATTGAGATCGCAGGCATCAGATTAATCCGCTGTATGTCTTTCTGTCTCTCTGCAGGCCACAGAGCTGAATGACGACCGCACACCCTCGTCTGCCACCGTCATGACCACCTTCACCATCCTGCTGATCGATAAAAATGACAATCCGCCCAGGTTTAACAGCTCTGAATATCGCGTCCTGATCACAGAGCTGGCGCAGGTCGGCTTCGCTCTGCCTCTGTACATACAGGTCGAAGACAAAGACGAGGTGAGACATACCCATGCGCAAACACAGTGAGGTTTTAAAAGAGAATATTTTTCCCTCACATGATTTCCCTGACACATATTAATTATTCAGATGGACAAGTATGCCTGTGAGTACTGTTCCTTTCTGAGAGAAGCTTTTTGTAGAAACATCTTTGTGGTTTCCATGAACATGACATTTTCTCCAGCGTAGACTCTTCTGACATCAGGAACCCCTGACCGCTCTCACTGCTCGCCTTCATGGCAGTAGCTCCAGAACGAGCTGGAATCAGTCAGACGTCAAGCTTTCTCACCTGCTCACCTCCTATCAGTCAAGCTTCAAACTAGTCACTCTTCTGAATCTGCTCTCCTGGCTGTAAAGTGCTCGAGTCAGCAGCAACATGCTCGCATAACTCCATGCTATTTCTTTCCGATCTGTAAGCAGTTTTTGACACTGCCATCCACACGTTTTGCTGGCAGAGATGGGCATTTCAGAGTCAGCACTTCCCTATTCGTTGTATGTGAATAACAGGTCCAGGTCAGTCGGATTGACTGACTTCCTCACCTTGATCCCTCATCACTAGTTTTTCCTAGGGCTAGGACATTTTCTCTATGTATTTGCTGGCGATAAATGTGCCATTTTTGCTTCACTAGTGCAGAAACAGTGCAATGATTTGTGGGTCAATTACATGATGCTCGGATCTGTTCATTTGTTCAAAAATACATTAACATTCAGTTCATACACACTGTACAGTCACTTGAATGATGAGCATGATTTATTTACTTATTTTTGGTTTGTTTTGTATAAAAACAATATTTTAAAATATAATATATATAATATTTTAAAATATTTTGGGAGGAAAGTTATAAAGTCAAAAATGTCACAGTGATACTCTTGATGTTATAATGAAGAAAAAAAATCCTTATTATTTGAATTAATTCAAAAAATGAAAACTATATGAAGTAGTTTGGCGTGATCTTTCATAATTATTTCAATTACTGTTATTATTTTATTTTTAAAATAAACTTAGACATATACAGTTCCAATGATTTATGGGTCAGTTACATGATGATTGTGTCAAAAAATACATTAAAATTCAGGTCAAATATACAACCATCTGAATAGACCTTAGACCTTCTTATGATGAGCATAATTTATTTTTGTATTAAAATTCATTTTGATATTTTTGGGGGATGTAAAATAAAAAATATCACAATGATACAAATGTACTGATATAATGAAGAAAAACTCATTATTACTGTAGAATGAATCCAATGAAAGCTATATGAAGCATTTTTCATTGTTATTTTATTATTATTATTTTATTTGATAAATAATTTATTATATTTTTGTTGTTGTTAATAATAATAATAATAATAACAATTGACTTCTTATTAATATGCTTGGTAAAAATATAATTTTAAAATTTCAACAAATTGTGGCAGTCTCGAAATCTGTTGTACAACAAAAATTAGCAGCATTTTAAACAGTTTTGAAGTGGTTGATTTGTGGACAAGTATAAAAGCTGAGTTATGAGGCTGAAATTTTTACTTGGGCTGTTGAATATCAAAGGTCTGTAGGGAACGCTTGTCAAGGTCCGTGTTTGAGTGATAAAATGATTATGAAGCTTTTATTTATTTATTTATTTATTGTTGCTTTCTTGAGCATAATTTACTGTTTGACACATTTTGAAACCATTCTTGTACAAATAGGGTAATAGCTTTTAAACTGGAAACTTTAGAGTGCAAGAAAGAGAGGCACACATAATATTTAGTGTTATGTCAGGCATTCATAGCCAATGAATGCTTGTGAAATGTTCATAAAACAAATAGTTCTGATTTTAAATTCTGATGGGATGAAACATGCTCAAATCCGCTATAAAATGTCGACATGTTTTAAGCTTACCACCCAGCTTACAAACAAACACACCCTGACATACGTCCATGGTCTCTCTTATGTGTTGTCATACGCACACAGGAAACCCATTTAGACTGGTGCAGGGTTTAGTTTGCTTGTGAGTAGGTGAGATACAGCAGCAAATTATCGCTAACCAGCAGAATCAATCAGAGATGAGAGCAGCACAAGTCAACTTAAGATTGATTCCTGCTTCAAATTACTGGAACAGAAAGTGACAGATAAATAAAGAGAGGGAGAGAGAGTGGCATACTAGTAAACTACTGTATACTGCATACTTACTGTTTTTTTCTATTTATTTTTTTTAATATATATATATATGTAAAGTAAGGCATTAAGCAGCATTGAAATATTGAAAAAAGTTTCTTATGCTCAGCAAGGCTGCATTTTTTTATCAGAAATACAGTAAAAAAGAGTAATATTGTGAAATATTGTTACAATTTAAAATAAGGGTTTTCTATTTGAATATATTTTAGAATATAATTTATTCCTGAACATCATCAATTATAAAATAGCAAAAATAAGAAGTAAATAAAAATAAATAGATAATCAAATGCACCTCATTCAATCAGAATTCAGACTTTGAACTATCCATTTTTTTTTTCAAAAATCTATCCATTCAATTGCGAGTTCCAATGATTTATGGGTCAGTTACATGATGATTGTGTCAAAAAATACATTAAAATTCAGGTCAAATATACAACCATCTGAATAGACCTTAGACCTTCTTATGATGAGCATAATTTATTTTTGTATTAAAATTCATTTTGATATTTTTGGGGGATGTAAAATAAAAAATATCACAATGATACAAATGTACTGATATAATGAAGAAAAACTCATTATTACTGTAGAATGAATCCAATGAAAGCTATATGAAGCATTTTTCATTGTTATTTTATTATTATTATTTTATTTGATAAATAATTTATTATATTTTTGTTGTTGTTAATAATAATAATAATAATAACAATTGACTTCTTATTAATATGCTTGGTAAAAATATAATTTTAAAATTTCAACAAATTGTGGCAGTCTCGAAATCTGTTGTACAACAAAAATTAGCAGCATTTTAAACAGTTTTGAAGTGGTTGATTTGTGGACAAGTATAAAAGCTGAGTTATGAGGCTGAAATTTTTACTTGGGCTGTTGAATATCAAAGGTCTGTAGGGAACGCTTGTCAAGGTCCGTGTTTGAGTGATAAAATGATTATGAAGCTTTTATTTATTTATTTATTTATTGTTGCTTTCTTGAGCATAATTTACTGTTTGACACATTTTGAAACCATTCTTGTACAAATAGGGTAATAGCTTTTAAACTGGAAACTTTAGAGTGCAAGAAAGAGAGGCACACATAATATTTAGTGTTATGTCAGGCATTCATAGCCAATGAATGCTTGTGAAATGTTCATAAAACAAATAGTTCTGATTTTAAATTCTGATGGGATGAAACATGCTCAAATCCGCTATAAAATGTCGACATGTTTTAAGCTTACCACCCAGCTTACAAACAAACACACCCTGACATACGTCCATGGTCTCTCTTATGTGTTGTCATACGCACACAGGAAACCCATTTAGACTGGTGCAGGGTTTAGTTTGCTTGTGAGTAGGTGAGATACAGCAGCAAATTATCGCTAACCAGCAGAATCAATCAGAGATGAGAGCAGCACAAGTCAACTTAAGATTGATTCCTGCTTCAAATTACTGGAACAGAAAGTGACAGATAAATAAAGAGAGGGAGAGAGAGTGGCATACTAGTAAACTACTGTATACTGCATACTTACTGTTTTTTTCTATTTTTAATATATAATATATATATATATGTAAAGTAAGGCATTAAGCAGCATTGAAATATTGAAAAAAGTTTTCAGCAAGGCGCAAGGCTGCATTTTTTTATCAGAAATACAGTAAAAAAGAGTAATATTGTGAAATATTGTTACAATTTAAAATAAGGGTTTTCTATTTGAATATATTTTAGAATATAATTTATTCCTGAACATCATCAATTATAAAATAGCAAAAATAAGAAGTAAATAAAAATAAATAGATAATCAAATGCACCTCATTCAATCAGAATTCAGACTTTGAACTATCCATTTTTTTTCAGGAAATCATCATCACATGCTTTCAGATGGAGCAGAATTTACTACACAGAGCCGTAGTTCACTTCGCAGACGATTTTATTGCGCGATTATGAAATCGAAGAAATCGATCGCGATAATGACAGCTGTTTGCATAGCTTCTCAGTGAACTACGGCTCTGTGAAGTAAATGCTGCTCCATCTGAAAGCATGTGAAAATACCACATTTAATATCATATTTTTACTCCAAACTCACTTCATAACGTCAGTCGAGTGTTTGAAATAAATCCTTCTGTGAGATGATGTGGCTTCTTACACAGAATAAGGCACGCAACATATTTCATAGTATTTAAGCAGTGATAAAGGCATTGCATTATAAATATATTTTATTTTAATGAAAACTACAATAATAAGAACTCAGATAAACCATATATTGCCGTAGTCGTGTGTTTATTAGTCACGTTGAATCAATGAAAGCAGTTGAATCTTCTG